GGTCGCCCACGTCGATTTTTGTTTTCCAAATAGTATTCTTCTTTCAGTTCTTACTATCAGCTTCATATATTGATCATTGAATCTCTTTATCTTGGTTGTTTTTCTGTGCTCAGATATTGTCCTATTTTGAGTTTCAGGGTACGCCTTTTCCAATTTCACATGCTTTATTCCTGTTCCCTATATTCGTAGTCCTCCTCTTCAAGTAATGTCTCAGGATTTTTCTCTGTTGGCTACCCCTCGTTTTATGTGTATATTGTTTGTACTAATCGAGAGTTTGTTCTTTTCTTCAAAATTCAGTGCCCTGACTTTGCCCCAGATGGTTATAGACAGTTGGTTGTCACTCTTGTGCCCTGTTTTCTTTGGCTTTTCACCCACGATTATGTTGTCTTCACAGCATTCCTCCCCTGTCTTTGAGCATGCCTTGTACATGTTTTGAGGCATAGCTCACAGAAAGTGGTTTCTGTATTCTCAATATATAGCAACTTGAGTTTAATACGGAATTCTTGTGTCCTGACGCCAGTTTCAGGGTGCTGTGAGGTTTCAATTTAATGGTTTCTTTGTTGACATAGGCATGGGTTTTGCCTCCAGTTCCACCCCACTTGTGTTCGCCTGTTCCTACACATTGTCCTCATGTATATCACTTCCATGCATGGAAAATTTGCATTGTTTGAGTTTGTTGCTTTGACAGTAGTAGTGACTGTTAGATATCTTAGCCATTTTCAGCTGCTTCTGTTGTTTAAAGATGACATGGGCACTTTGTAACGTAAGGGTCTTCTGCCATTTTGTGGCAGGTTGGGTGTCTATGGCACTGAGTTCAAATCATGAATTTTCAGGCACTGAGTTCTCCTGGAAGAAACACAGTGACACACAGAGATCCAGTTTGGCAATACATTCACATACCCATTCACAGAGGCACACTCACACACACACAAACACACACACATATGCCATGCTGTCTACCCTCGTTGGGTCAGGCACACATTCATTGGTACCCAAGGGATTGAGGAATGAATGTCGCAGATAGAGTGCTTATCCCCAAATAAACTTTGTTTTACATGGAGCATGCTCTCTGAGATGCTGGATTCAATTCTGAATCATGCATGTGATTTCTGTCCACTTGTCAGATGGAGGTGTTTGGCCAGGTTCATCAATACTCAAGACAAGGAGACCTTCCCATTTTCTGGTGACTGGTGGTGGCCGGAGGCTGTGGAAGAAAATGGGTGTTCTCAGGGTGAGTACCCTTCCTGTGGATCACTCAGGATAACAGTATGCATTCCTCTTACCCTCCCCAAGTACTGGCATTTGCTTTTGGATTTTCTTTGACTGCTTGAGTTGTGGCCCAAAAGGATTTATTGTTGCTGTTGCTCAGTGGCTTGCTGGCTCTGTATTCCCCAGGCAGCTGGAGGTCTCCGAGCTCATTGGCTCCTCTGTGGCACTGAACAGCCTGCCTTGTTGAGTTCTCCAGCATGCCAGCAAGTGCTCGGATCAATGATGACCCCCTCATATGCATTCCTTGATAATCTGAACATGATGAATGAGAACACACTACTGTTGTCCTCAGAGGTGCTGGGGTGGTGTTGGTTTGGTGCCACGATGGGGCTGATTGATTGGGTTGCAGTGCTAGCCTTCACAGCTTCATTGTTGCACCTAGTGACCCAGGGCTGTTGCCAAAGGCTGAAGCATGGAACATGCCGAGGTCTCAGTGCTGCCTTCCAGCATCTCAGGAGGCTGATGGCCTAGACTGGAAGGGAAGATTATGGTGAAGTCAGGGCTAGTATGATATTGTTTGATTTCTTGTAACCCATTGTACTCATTTTTCTCTTTCTGCCATCCTGGAATTCCTAGGTCCCTTGGTTTGTTTGATTTTTCTGGGCCTCTATGTGGCTCTTGCTAATCCTACATGAGGTGCTGATAGTTTTTTCTTTAGAGTGGGATGTCAAAGATTCTCACTGTGGTAAGTGAGACTCCAACATACCAAAATCAATAGTTTCTCTTGGTTCAAGCACCTCAGTTACATGGGATGACCCAACCTGTGTCACCCAGGTTTTAGCCTTTTGTGGTCCAGAAAGAGTTTCTCCAGTCTAGAAATCTTCCAAGCTATGTAAGTGAGAATGCCTACAGTGTAGGTATTACTCGGCCAGCTGATCAATGAATGTCTGTTATAAATCTTTGCTCACTTTTGCTCTGCTTCTATAATTTAACTTAGAGTCAGCAGTTGTTTTCATATGAAAGAATTCACTTTTCTCACCCTGAGAAGTGAAATGATGGGGTATATCATAACTCAATCTGCTATCCAAACCTCACAGTTCAGTGATTCCAGTTGGAATTCCAGCACTGGTAAGCATTTGTCCTGAAAGTACTGACGTTCCTCTTAGAGCACTGTAACATTCCAGTGATGCTGACTCCAGCCAAGCTAACTGACTATGAGACTAGGTTATTGCCTGTGGTCATTGGTCTCCATGACTGAAAACAGTGGGTCTCATGCCTGAGGGTGTTGGAATCCTGAGAGTTCCATATCTCTTATTTAATACCCTTTTACAAATGTACCTGTACTGATGATGACTTCAAAAGTGGGTCTCAGAGGAGTCTGAAGAAAATGATTGACACGGCCAGTTCTGTGAGAAAAGGTACAGCACAGGGCGCTGTTCTAGCCAGAAAACGTGGAAGGAGTTCAATTGAGAAGTAGCACCAA